GCAGGAATGAACTGAAATCCTTTGCATAAGCAAGAGCTGAGTAAGATAAACATTTCAGACACTGCCATAGATTTGGAAGACCATCTCAGCATTCCAGACGCCCCTGTGTTGTTGCATATTGTGGGAAAGGGGCCACCAGCCTTGAAACCAAAGTGGCCTGTTCTCAGGGTGACATCTACACTTAAGAGCCGGAGAGACTTGGGCGAGTCGTTTAGTCCCTCTGAGTCCATTTCTTCATCTGAAGAAGAGGAATACTTGCACTTACCTCTTAGGATTGTTGTACAGATCAAACAGACAGTGTCTTCAAAAAGCCTAACCGTGTGTCTGACAGCTAGTTCAGTAAATTAGAACTCGAATTAATGCTGAAGCAACCACAAGGGGGCTCAAATTCCCCACGGCACTGTGGCAAGAGGGGAAGCCCTTCTTACCTTTGTGAAGACAATCAAATCAACTTGTTAATTCCAAATAGAACCATTCTTATGGAGTATCTATGTGGAAAGGGAAAAGCTAGAGCCGATTCTCTTTTGTTGATCTGGTGCAACAGAAGCAAAACTAGCTGGGAGGAGGCAGCACGCGTTTTGTTCTGCTTCGGTCCAGGCTTCAGTTCCTCACCTCCCCTTTAAGCACCCCCGGTCTTCACTCGAATTCACCCACAATCCGTCAGTCTTTTCCCCACCTCTATCCCCAGCAAACTTACTTAGCTTTTCTGAAATTTTAGGAAGATTCTGATTGAAAAAAATTAAGGGTCAGGAAAAATCTAAAATTCAAACAAAATCGTTCTATAGGACTTAAAGGGCAAACTTCCTTCCCCTAGACCTTGATCATGATTAAAAACGTATATGTAGAGAGTCTCCTGTGTGTCTAGATGACCCACTGAAAATGGAAATGTTGTTTTAAGATATTTCACAATATGGTTAAAATATACACAAACCATTGGAGAGAATTTAGTTTCTTGTCTTAGAATAAAGAAGAGCTCCTTCTATTTTTAGTTATGAAAGATTATTAGCAACCTTAACATCTAAAGTATGCTTTAATCTATAATATCTGAAGAATGAGCTTTTTAAAAAGTTTAAATCCATATAGTATGCTATTGGTAAAGTCTATTTTGCAGGCTAAAAAAAAGAAAGCTGGAGTGGGGTGGATCTAGAGAGACTTTTTTTTAAACCTGTGAAATGTTTTGTAGCCATAGAAATGGTTCTGGAAATCATAATTTTAAAACTATTCAAAAGCTGGACTTCCTGTTTGCATAATACAAGTACAGAATAATTTGCATATAGATTCTTTAACAGTGTTTTTGATTATGGAGATAATGGTGTTGAGGGAACGACCCCAGGTCATAGAGGTCTAATATCAACAATAACCCTTTCTCATGGCCAGTCTAGGGCAAATTTGTGAAGTACTCTAAGTTTGTCTTCTTTAGGACTGCTCTCCTTTCTAGTCCTGTAACCGCCAGGCCTATTCCTATTACATAATTTCATCCCTGCCCAGGACTTGTCTTAAAAATATCAACCTGATGAATCACTGATCAGGGTAAATTAGTTTATGTCCAACCTCTTAAAGTAGTCTCTGCATTAGGAAAATAGGATTAGCAAGAAGTACCCAACCTCAAAGAATAAATCTCTAATGGTAAAATTTCAGATACCACGGATTTGGGTAGGGAATTATTTGGGTCAGAGAACTTTCTGCAGCATAGGACTAGAACTAGAAGGATATCTGTAGTAATAAATGCCTTCTACTCTATTTCATAAATTTTGGTCAGGAGATCATTTGTGCTACAATTACCAGACACCTGTTTAAAACAAAAAACAAAACAATTTCTAGGCACAATCCCAGAGTCATTAAATCAGAATCTCTTGGACTGAGGAACTTATACTTCAGAAAGAGAAGACAGATGGGTAAATAAATAAAAGGAGTATTAGCCCAATATTGGAAATCATCAGATTATACCTTGTGGACAAAGCTAAGGGTTTATATATATATATATATATATATATATATATATATATATATATAT